ACGAGGAATATGGTTTAGACTTAAACTTAAGTTATGATTATATTCGTTTTGTCAAATTATTTCTGAGACAAGTAAGTAAAGGGGGGGGGGGGTTTGTGAAACAAATAACTGATTATTGTTTAAGTAACAAGAGAGCAAGATTCGAACTTTGTTGTTATCAGTGAGAGAGAGAAACTAGGGTGTATGTGTTCCCCATAAGCTCTTAACGCGGTAATCCTAATAATAGTAATCCTTTCCTAGTGTATCACATGGAAAGTGGTAAGTTATTTATCCCTAAGTGCTTGGTCCGCCAAATAGGAAATTTCACCTCGCACCTTGGTCCGGCTACGTGTGTATAATTTACTAACCCTTACCTTTACCTCAGATTAGACATCACATCAATGTATGGCTTAGTTTTCACCCTCGCACCAATTGACATTAGACTATTAGATAGTATCACACTAAATGTCTGTTGATAATTCTTTTCTTATTAACTACCTCATTGGTCCGGCAAGTAGCAAAAAGGAGAGTTCTAACATTGTCCACCGTTAAAAAGACTTCTAAACGAAAGAATTATCAATGAATGCAAAACACTATTCGAGAATTACTTAGTTACTATTCATACATTGTTAATCGTTCATGGTTCCCACAACCCTAGTTGTGAATTTAGTTACTCATGTTGGCAAGAACACAATTCACAATTGTAGATGAAGAAATCATGAACTTACGTAAAGAGAATAACAAACCCATAAATTTAACTTGAATTGCAAAGCCAAATCAATACTAGTCAAGAATTACTTAGATATTATTCATACGTTGTTAATTGATCATGGTTCCCACAACCCTAGTTGTGGATTTAGTTACTCATGCCTGAAAGAACACGATTTATAATTGTAGAAGAAGAACGTATTGAGTAGAAGAAACCCGTAATCTCCAATTGAAATTCAAAGCAAAAATCTTATAAACCAAAATTAGGAAATCAAATTGCCAAAGTTTGCAAGTTAATTCTCAAGGAAATACCAAGAACTAAAATAATACTATGGTGTCTAACCCCCAAAAACTAGGTTTACATGCCCTACTTATAGAAAAAAATGTCCTAAACAAAAAGGAAATGAAATAAGGAAATAAACTTTTCTGGACGTGGCTTTCATCGACGATACTGACCTACGGTACGGTCTGTAGGTACCTTCCGTGGCTCAAGACTTGGACAATATCTCAAAAGTTTGGAACCTTCAACTCTCAACTGCAATCGACAGACGTGCAGTACGGATCGTGGGTCGATCCACGGTCCGTGGCTCCACACTTAGAACTTTTCATCAGGTACTGGAACTTCAACTCTCAGTGATCATTGACATACGTGCAGGATGGCCCGCGGGTCGACCTACGATCTGTCACTCACCCTAGTAGTTTCACACTTAGTCAGACTTCCCAGATGATCAATCCACGCCTACCCACTGACATACCGTGACTGGACCTACGGTCTGTAGGTCACTTTCGTGGGTGGCCACTTCTGCAGAATTTCAGTTGTATCTCTCTCGACCTCGTCCAAGCCTATTTCCTACAAATTTAGCACAGTACACCGTAGTTCTAATACAAAATGGCCCTGGACACACACAACTCTTAAGTGAAATATATTTAAAATATCGTAAACTCACGGTATATCAATACTCAATCACCAACTTAAAATCACAAAGGCCAATGCCTACGATTAGCATAACTCTAGTTCCTACTTTGAGCTATTCGAAGCTTATCCTGAATCACCCTCACCTTGTTCAAAGACTCCTGAATCAAGTTTGTTCCATGCGGTCTAGGCTTTGTAGAATCAAACCCACCAATCGAAGAGCGACAACGCATACCATATAGGACCTCGAACGAGGCCATATGAATACATTAGTAGTTGTTGTTATTGTACGCAAACTCTACCAAAGGTAAGAAATGGTCTCACTTACCTCCAAACTCCAACATATAGGCCTAGAACATATCCTCAAGAACCTAAATAGTACGCTCTGATGATTAATCAATGGGTGGAAAGTTGTGCTAAGGTAGACATGAATACCTAACTACTCATGAAAGGTCCTCCAAAACCTTGAAGTGAACTAAGCACCCCCAATATTATATAGTATAGACTGGCACACCATAAAGATGAACCACTTCTCATATATAGATATGGGCCAACCTCTTGGCGTTGAATGAAGATGAAACGAGGAGGAAATGTGCTTGCTTGAATGTAGGCTGAACTTGACATTATGCAAAGGCGATGGATGTCTAGAGCTTCAGTGGATAATATTTGTGGGAATGGGGGAATGATTGGGCAGTCGGATAATTGATTCTCAAATGTAACACCCCGTATCCTAGATAGACCAAAATGCAGATTTTGAGAAATTACAGGTGCAACCCACGGTTGCCATCCACGGACCGTAGGTCAGACCACATCCCGTGCTGGTGTTCCTTGGTTCACCACTGCAACCCCTCCCCAAACCCAGCTCAGAAAATTGACTAAGTCTCGACCCACAGACAGACCCACGGTCCGTAGGTCAGACCACGGTCTGTGGTCTGTGTCTGTGGATCAAGACTCCTTTACCCAGCCTCTTACACGAACTACGGTCAACCAGAATGGACCGTCGTTCAATGCACGGTCCGTAGGTCTGACCGTAGATGAAGGTCAGCAGCCAATTAGAGGAAAATTGTTGATTGGGTAAACTTCAAATGGTCATAACTCTTAGTACAAAATGAATTGTGTCCCATGACCTATGATATGATATATAATTGAATCTTCTTTTCAACGCCACCAAGTTTCCTAAAATCCGACGTTCGAGTAAAAAGTTATGCTCATTTTAGTGAAGACCTGCCGGACAGACTTGACCGACGGACCCAAATGACGGCCGGTAGATCAAACGACGGACCGTCGTTCCTTCCGTGGATGGGCTTCGCCAGAATTAAGTTAGGGTTGTTGTGGTCCTTTTCCTATTTCATTGGACCCCTAAGCTACGTCGTTTAGACCTTAAATTATGAGGTTTTAGTCAGTTTAAGCCTAGAAACATAACTAGAACTTACCTAAGTCAAATCATTAATCAAAACATAGAAAATTAGAACAGTCAGAGGAGAAAGAAGTCTAGAACCCTAGTTCAAGAACGCAACAAGTTTTCTT